ATGATGATGATGATGATGATGATGATGATGATGATGATGATGATGATTACTATTATTAGAGTGGAGTACAAACTCCTGGTCCCTTGGTTCAGCCTCTTTCCATAGAGCTGGTAAACAAGCCAAGAGGAGAAAGTCACGCATACAGAATAGAAAACTCAGATGCCACAGGAAGGTTGCCTGCCAGGCTAGGTGAGGTACAGCTATTGCTTTCCTCCACAGCACACTGTTCTGTCTTGGGCTATAGAGTGAGCAACTAATTACTGATTCTGGTGGCGTTAGCTGTAAAATTATGAATAGAATGAAAGAAAAGTCTCCGTTAAAAAGTAATGCACAGCTCAGGATGGTGATGTGTTCTGTGCTTTTAATCCCAGCACTCAGGATCTCTGTTGGTTTGAGGCCAGCCTGTTCTATGTAGTGAGTTCTAGGCTAGTCAGGGCTACATAGCAAGATCCTGGCTTAAAAAAAAACAAAAACCAACAACAAAAACCCAAACCAAACCAACCAAAAAAACCAAACAACCGCAAAACAAAAGAAATAAACTCTCTCTCTCCTTCTTTCCCTCTCCCCATATATATTTTTGGAGACAGGGTTCTTTGTGTAACCCTGAATGTCCTGAATTCAGGGCCTTGCTAATGTCAGAGGAGAGATCCATCATTGAGCTGTATGATTTCCTATTTAAAACAAGAATAATACTTTTTTTTTTTTTTAATGGTTACCTAAAAACGTATTCGTTAAATTCCCTGCCCATGGTTAATTTGGAATGTGTGTGTATGTGTGTACACGTGCACACACACACACGTGCACGCACGCACGAGCTCGGGCGTGTACATGTACATGTATGTATCTGTCGAGCTGCCTCCTGAGCCCTGATATTAAAGGCGTGTGGTAATGTGCCCAGCCTTAAAAAAATGTTTGTTTCCGAGACAGGGTTTCTCTGTGTAGCCTTAGCTGTCCTGGATTCACTTTGTACACCAGGCTGGCTTTCAACTCACAGGGACCCACCTGCCTCTGCCTCCCTGAGCGCTGGGGTTAAAGGTGTGCGCCACCGTGCCTGGCTAAAACGTGTATTTTAAAATATTGTCATGTAGGGGCTGCAGAGGTGGTTCAACGGTTAGGCTCACTGGCTGCTCTTACAAAGGACCTGGCTTTGTTTCCCAGCACCCTCATAACTTCAAACAACTGTTTGTACCTTCTTCTGGCCCCTGTGAACACTATGCACATATATGCAGGCAAAACACTCATAAAAATCAGGTAAACCAATAAAAATTCTTAAAGTCAGATGTGTACTGCCACATATGTTATATATGCTAACATATATGCTAACATGCAGACTTCCAAAAGAATTAGAATTGTTTTCTTAAGATATATTATTCCAAAAGAGTTATAATTGTTTATAGAGGTAGTGAGCTAATGGATGAGTATGCCGGTTTCCTCATAGTGTTCAGCTTGTTTTCTTTGATTTTAGTATTCACTTCGTATTAATTTGAATTTTGAAAAATTAGTAGGGAGGCTGAGCTCCTGTTTTGTGCTGAAGTAGAGTATAGTCTTACATGACGAGACAGTAAAGCATAACGTTTAGTAATCAGTCTCTGGATTATTAATGTAATAATTATGACTTAGGCAAACCACTTAATTGTCAGCCTTACCCTCACCTATATAGGAAGGCTCTCTGCCTGCTAAATGTGTGTGAGAAATATAAGACCCAATGGGCTACTGGATGGGAAAACGTATGTGTAGTGCAGAGTATATTATCCCTTAGTAAAGTGTGTTTGTATTTTTATGCATGTGAGGTTAAACTGACTTTAAAATAGGTGGTTTGGTGAAGGGAGATTCGAATACATTTTTTTTTCTGATTTTCTTAATGGTTTTAGGGATTGAACTCATGAAGTAGTTACTTCATACTAAACGCTTTAAAAAATTCCGTGTATGTGTGTGTCTGTGGAGATTTTTATACAGGAGTGCAGATGCCCTGGGAGGCCAGAAGATGGCCTTGCATCTCCTGGATCTGGAGTTACAGGTGCTTGTGAGCCATAGGACTTGGGGGTCAGGATGGGAACTGAACTCAGGTCCTCTTCAGGAGCAGCAAGTCATCTTGACTGCTGAGCAGATCTCTCCAGCCCCGTACAAAAGACTTAGTTAATTGGGCAGTGGTAGCCAGGACACAGAAGCAGGCAGTTCTCTGAGTTTGATGCCAGCCTGGTCTGCAGAGGGAGTTCTAGGACAGCCAGGGCTACACATACACAAAACTTTAGATGGTGTTAATCTACTTTGGAACTGTACTCAAAGGAATCCCATTTAGTAGTAGAGGTGGAGCTGGAGGTCTAGTTGGTGCTTTCCCAGCATGCACAGAGCCCTGGGTTGGTCCCCAGCTGCACATAAACTGGGAGTGGTGATGCACACCTGTTTTAGCGCTCAGGAGGTGGACGCTAAGGATCAGGAGTTCAAGGACAGCCAGAGCTGCAAAAGCCGTGCTCGCTGTTGTGTTAGGTCATAGCTCGCCACTGTTGTAGAGGTGGAGGACCTGGGAGAATGGGGTCAGTAAATGGGATGGAATGAAGTCTTGTACAATAGCCAACTGTATTTGGCGCCTCAGATGATTTACACTCTGAGGATTAAGACAGGTCACATGGGTAAAGTTCTTATCAGTTCAAACTGTATGCAATCACAAGGACAAGCCACATGTGGCAACGATAGTTCTTCCATGGAGGCATATAAAGGATAACTGAATAACGGATAACTGAATAACAGCAGTGGCAGTAATGGATAATCTGAAGTAAACCCAGATCTGCTATACTGGGAGGAGCACGGAAACACATTCCAAGAACATTTCTGTGTTTTGAAGAAACTGAGGTCACAAGACTCTGCCTTGTTTTCTTTGGAGTGTTCTCACAAACACTCAGAATTCTCCTCATATCTGTCTTCCTGGACTGTTTCAACAGTAGCTCACACATTGTTACTATAACAGTGCTGAGGTGCTCTCCAAGTGAAGAAAGTCAGAGGGCTGGGCTACATAATGAAATTTTGTCTCCAAAAAAGTGTTTTAAGATGGTCATAACTGTTTCAGAGCAAAAATTCTCAAATGGAAGAAGTCTTTAGCATAAGCTATAGAACTCTCTGCTTATTTCTTCTTTTAAATCCTGCTCAGCCCTTCCAGGTTTTCAAGTGTTATTCCTCTACAGCTCCCAAGTTTCACCCTGAAAATGTACTTAGAAACTAGGCTGGTTTGGTCCTTCCCCTTCAAACGCCTCACAAATGGTAGTTGCTTAAAATACAGCCAAAGTAAATCTATGATTAGATGGATGAAGTCAGATCTTCTGCTTGTTTTTATAGGAATCCTGCAAGATGGCAAACCTGAGGGAATATTATGAGAGGGCGCTGAGAGAGTTTGGGTCTACAGATTCTGGTAAGTAAACTTCAGTTGCGGGTGTAAGCATTGCTTGTGCCATCTCTCATCTGTTACATGGTTGGAATTGTGTTTCTGGCTTGCATCCTAGGCCCTTCTTAGAACAACTTCAGTGCTTTTCCTGCCTTCTTTTCCTATGTGTTTTGAGACAGGGTCTTACTCTATAGTCCAGGCTAGCTTGGTACTCACTTCACAGCCTAGACTTGCCTCAAACCTCTGGCAATACTTCTGCCTCCACCTCTGAAGCAAGCCTTGTATCCACTAATTCTCTTAAAAACTCTGGATCAGAGAAAGATTTGCTTGGTTTGGGTCTCTTAAAAAGAAAATTTTATGTGGGCCAGTAAGATAGCTCCATGACTAAAGGAACTTGTTTTCCAGCCTAAAGCCATGAATCTGATCTCTACCTACGTGGTAGAAAAAAAAGGATTGACTTCCTCCATAAGTTATCTTCTGACCTCCACATGTATGTCATGACCTATGTACACACGCACAATATAAAGTAAATAACTTCTAAAAATCATGTGTGGTGGGATATGGTGGCTCATAACTATACTCCTACTGCTGCAGAAGTGGAAGCAGGAGTTTGCCAGAGGTCTAGGGCCAGTCTAGACTATGTAGTGAGTTCCAGGCTAGCTTGGGTTACAGAGTGAGGCCCTGTCTAAAAAAATCAAAACCAAACCAGTCTGAAGCAAGTACTTGTAAAGTAAAAGTTAGTATAGTCCAGCTGTTCATCATAGTAGGAAAGGAGGTACAGTAGGTGCCATCAGTTAGAATAGGGCTGGTTGGCTAGGCGCGGAGCTGACTAGGTAACAGCTGTGCTGTGTCTTTTAAACAGTAGAAAGGAAGCCGGCTGGTGGTGGGCAGTGTGGGAAAGGCAGCACACACCTTTAATCCTAGCAGAGGCAGGCCAATCTCGGAGTTCCAGGCCAAAAAAAGTAGAAAAGAGTTTGAAAGTTTTCCCTGGAAAGAAATGATAAATGTTTGATAAAGGATAAATAGGCTTGATTTTATTGCATTATACAACGCTTAAATATATCAGTATTATATGGTACCTCATTTTATTCATATATATTTTAAATTTTCTTTTATTTATGTGTGGAAGTTTCTTAGACCTTTTTAATTGGCTTCGTATTAAATAATTGAGTTTGCCTTACTAAATTTTCTAATTATGTTTACAGTAATTTTTCTTTTCTTTTAAAGATCTTTGGATGGATTACATCAAAGAAGAATTGAGCCATCCCTTCGGTAGACCTGAGAACTGTGGACAGATCTATTGGCGTGCCATGAAAATGTTGCAAGGACAGTCAGCAGAGCTGTTTGTAGCTAAACATGCCATGCATCAGGCTGGCCATTAGCAAACAGAACTACCAGTTTGCTGAAATTGTATGGCAAGCCTCTGGGCATGTTTGTAATATGAATCGGTATATAAGTTGTCAAGAGGTGGCAGGAGAGCTGATTGATTTTTTTGTGATGTACTTTATCCTGTCATTACTCTTTGGTTCCAGAAAAGAGAACTGCTGCTGCCTGTTAGATGTAAAATACACAGAAATTATACGCTTGAGTTTTATTTCTTGTTCCAGGCTAAGTACACACAGCTCTAATTTAGACTGGGTAGGAGGGAACCAGTTCAAACACAAGAGAAAGTATAGTTTTGTGTGTTCTTTTCTTACTGTGAGAGCCTGATGATACCTGTAGAGATAGGAGGGACTAGGGCTGTGCAGAGCGGACAGTGAGGTTGAACAAAGTGACTTGATTTCTTCTGTCAGAATTGCATTTGTACTTTTAGATCAACCATTCAAGAAATAGGAGCCTTCCTTCTCCTACAGGAAAGAATGGAGACTTGGCGCATGAGTAACAGAGGAGGGTGTGCTGGGTGTTAGAGTAATAGAAAAAATGATTGACAAGCCAAGAACTGTTTGCATGGAGGAGCCCAGCAACAAAAGGACAGGAAGCGAGTGGAGAAGTGTGTCAGTAGGAGGGATGGGGGATGGAAGGGTTGCTTAGAACAAAGGTGGGCTTTTGGGAACAGGGGAGGAAATAAAAAAAATTAATATTTAATTTTTTACAGTTTATTCATTTTATATCCTGATTGTAGCCCTTCCCTCATCTCCTGGTCCCACCTCCCTCCCTCTTCCTCCTTTCACTGTTTTGTTTTTTTTTTTTTAAGGTTTTTTTTTTATAAACCTAAATCTTTATGCCTTTGAGGCAAGTGCTCTATCACTGAGACAGATACCAGCCCTCTTTTTTACTTCTGTTTTGAGTGGGCCTCACTAAGTTCTGGCTGGCCTTGAAAGTCCTCAAGTCCAAACAGGCCTTGAACTGTCAATCCTGCCTCAGCCTCTCAAGTAGCTGAGATTACAGGCCCTGAACCACTCGACCCAGTTTTAATTTAACATTTGGTATCACTGGGAAAATATTCAGAACAAGTTACTTAATCCTAAGCCTTAATTAATGTTACGTATTTCCCATGTTATTAAATGAACTTAAAAACACCTAATGAATTCATAGCATTCCATTGTCTTTATTAATTCCCTGTGGCTAGCCCTTACCATTTGTTATTTGTTTTAATTATAAATGCTTTTGGTGAAGATTCTTGTCAATTGTTGCTGACATCCACGAGCACTTCCTTAGGAGTCTTGTTTGACAGTGAAAGCTGCATCTAGGGAAGAGATAGGAAACACTGATGTTTGGCCAGTTTGCTCTTTTCCAGGGGCAAATGAAAGAGCAACACCCCTGTCCACACTGGGCATTACACATTTCATTTCCATCGTTTTGTAATTTACCGTTTAGCACATGAAAGTGATACATCATCGTTTAAACTGCTTTTTCTTACTAATTATGTTTTTAAAATACATTGAGAATGTTAATCTTTTGTTTGCCTTTCATGTCTTACAAATAGTTTATGAATGTTCCCTTTGTTTGGTGTTTTTGATGCCAGAAGAATTTTTGTGTGTGTGTGATTGGTTTTCCCTTTCCCCTAGCACTGAGATTAGATGTAGGGCTCACACGTGATGTCTGACACACTGCCACGTTACACCCTCAGGTTTAAGCCTTGTGTTGTCTCTCCTCTTGCTGAGGACCGCTGGATCTCTTCCTAACGCAGGCGACTAACTTATATAGTACTAGGTAACCAGTCGGTTTGTTCATTTTGGTTTATGACCCTTAGTATATATTGGGTCTTTATGTAGGTTAGAGTAGTTAGTACATTTTTATTTTAAGCCTTTGTACTGTGATTTACTGCAGACCAGCACTGCTGACTGACCATACCAGGTCTAGCCTGCTGAACCAGTGAGTTTATTGGGGAGCATGGTTGAAAGGTACCATTGAAAAGCCCACAAAAACTGTATCTCTCCCCAGTTTACAGGCAGCCCCAGAAGTCCTCTCCCAACACTAGCTGATTGATTATATAATCTTGGGGTGGGACCTTGTGAATCGTTCTGTACTCCTTGGGTCTTCAGGAGGGAACGCACGAGTGATTCTCTACAGTTGGGTTATTTCTCCTGCAAGCCCTCCCTGTCCCAGGGGCCACCTTACTTGAGGCAACAAGGAGAGTGACCAGGCTCTGGTCAGATACTGTCACAGCAGGGAATGTTTAGGATGTCATTGTTTATGCTGGTCCACAACTTTGGTCAACTGCTGTCATGTAGAATGGGTTACCCCAAAAGACCATCCTTAACTCAAGAAGGGGGACCTAGGTGCTAAGTTCTCATCCATTTGTGAATAAGTTACAGTTGAATTGCAGCCTAGAATCATAGAGTAAATGTGAAGTGATAGGGTGAAGAGTGGCCCTTCAGAGGCCTTTCTCTACCATCAGGCGGGGTCGGGCCATGTCAGCGCTGCGGTGGGAAGGGGAAGTGTTGAAGCTGAAGCACCCAGCGGTACGGGGTAGGGACGACGCAGTTTCAGACCCAGCTCCTTGGCCAAGTATTTGCTGCCAGAGTCAGTATCCAGGAAGTTGGCTCTGTACCAGCAGTGGGCAATGGGAAGTGCTTGCCCCGTCGGCACACGATGCCCTCTGCACTGCACTGCCCATGTTTCTTCTTGACAGGAATCTTTCCCCTTGGCCCGCAGTAGCCATGGCTGAGGCCAGACCTCTGCAGTAGATTCTTTAGCTGGCAGCCGGATCCTGGGTCTCTCCTAGCGGAGCCGCTTCCCAGGCGCAAAGCCTTGGCGATGGAGTTTGGAATCTCGGGCAGCTGTGGTAAGGTGCTGGAGGCCACGTGGCTACCTCAGGCCAGTAGCTGTGGGGCTTGCAGGAAGCTTCTCCCAGCCCGGAAGCCAGCTCTGCCAGCATTTGTAGCCTGAGGGTTGGGTGGGGTGCGGGGAAGTGGGAAGGTGTGGGCACCTGCAGTGGATCAGGGAGAGCCCATGGATGGCAAGCTGAGGCAGGTAATTAAATAGAGGGTTCCCTGCCTACGAAGGCAAGCAAGAGGCTGTGGGAGCCTCTGGTCAATGAGTTGATGCTGAGGGCTGAGCTGGGAACACCTGCTGGGGAGCCTGGGCCCGGGCAGAGCAGGGGAACAGGAGAGAGGGCTTTACCGGGATATGAGCACCAGGTCATGTGTGTTCTTTGATGTGCAAAGAAGCACAGGCCCTTTTAAATTCAGGGTTTCCAGAACGGTGTTTTCATGCTGTGATCGGTGTCCGCCCCTGCTCTATCAGTGAGCTCCTTGGCTCTGTGTTTGAGGTCTGTGTTTGAGGCTGCATCTGGCACCCAGCGTTTTCCCTGGCACAGTGCATATTAATTGGGCTGGTGATCCAAGATGGCACTTACTAGAGGATATGAAGATAGATTTGTAAAGAAAGTCACTTTGGGTGAGACTAATTCTGCACTTTGGGTGCAGAGTTGGGTGAGACTAATTTTGCCAGGGCAGAGCGGGACAGGATGTCCTCTTCCCCATGGAGGGCTGTGGCCTCCTGAAAGTGGAAAAGAGAGAATGCAGGGCAAATGGCCTTGGAATTTGGGTCCCAGAGCAGAAGGAGGCAGACAAATATGTTTAGCAAGTAGATGCGTGTGCATATTGGGCTGATGTGTGGTAGTGGGGGGCTGTTGAAAGTTTCATATTTTGTGTGTACGTGTAGTGTACCGTGGCGTGCCTGGTGCCCACAGAGGCCACAAGGGGACATCAGATCCCTAGGAACTGGGGACGTTACAGACATTGTGAATTGCCCTGTGGGTGCTGCTCCCACCGACCTACCTCCAGCACTCAGCCTCTCATTCAAGGGCTCCACAGATTTCCATATAGCGCCTCCCACTGGGGACCAAATGTTCACACGTGAAACCCTGAGGAACATTTCACATTTATCTTTAATATGGGGCTGATAACAACGATCTCTTAGGGTTGTTCTGAGGAAGGAGTGGGAGGACTGTAGCCACTAATTCAGTAGCCACCAATTCTGTATAAGTTCATTAATTATAGTTAAAGTGAGAAATCCTGGCCATATTTCGTGTGCTTAGGGGGCACACACAGCAAACTGTTCACCAGACGGATTTTTTTATTTTTATTTTTTTACCAGATGGATTTGAAAGCATTTCCAACATCGAAGAAAGCTCTCATGCATGGTGATGGTTGAGACTGGCTTACCCTGTCTGGGAACATGGCTTATCCTGGCTGGGAACGCACTGCAGGAGACTGTTTTCTTTTTTCCTTTAAAACAAACAAACAAACAAACAAACAAACAAAAATAACAAAAAACCTGGACTCTTACAACAACCCTATGTCCATTTTACAGATGAGAAAACTGAGGCACAGAGTGAACTAAAGACAGTTTCCAATTGTTGGAAAAGATGAGTAACCATAAGCCTGTCATTTGACTATTTGGGATGCACATTCCAGAGGCATCTGTCTCAGTGAAAGTCGTGACCGTCTGGTTCCAGAACATTTCACTGCTCCAAAAGCAAATTTTGTGCGTTAGCGCTTACTCCATTTCCCCCACCTGAGTCTACTGTCATTCATTAGCTTGCTGTCTCCATCTGTTTACCTATTCTGGGCAGGAAAGTATGAATTGACTATAAATGGAGTCATGTAATATATGGTCTCTTGGGCCTGGCTTCTTTCAGCTCAGCATATTTTTGAGGTTCATTCATGTTGCAGAATGAATTTCAGCACTTTTTTTTTTTTTCTGCCAATGAATACTTCCATCATTGGGTGAACCACATTTTGTTGATTGTTCTTCATCCATCAGCGGATGGATATCTGGAGTACGTCTTCCTGTTGGTGACTGGGCTGCTGTGAGCGTCCTTGTTTCGTTAGTGCTGTCTTCAGTTCCTGGGGGAGAGGGGGTTCATTTAGAGGTAGAGTTGCTGGGTCCTGTGATGCTAAGTTACTGAGGAATCAGCTAAGGAGCTCTAAGCTCAGTTCCACGTTTACTAATTGGCAGAACAGATCTGAACGCAGCCAGTCTGCCTCCAGGTCCTGCGCTTTGACTGTCACTTTACTGTTTGGAGCTGTTCCGACTTCCACAGCCTCAACACCATGCCTTTTTAGGCAGATTCCTTTCCCACCCCGCTCCCTGGCATCACTAAAGCGCTGTACTTGGAAAGCCATTGTTTTCCTCCAGGCTGTATTCCAGAATCGTGAGGCCTTTTAACAATGTACATTCCGGCTTCCCAGAAGGCACTGTGGGGGCTGCTATGACTGGACAGGCCCTGCTCTTCTCCCTGCACCTCTGGCCTAACTCTCCCTTCATCTGCACCCGCCTTTAATGTTCTCTTTGAGGTGGAAGGGCAGAACTGAAGAACAAAATTCAGTGCCAGCTTGTGTCATCTGCTTGTGGCCTTTGGCTTAACGGCATGTAAATGGCCCTGAATTGTCACCTGTCTGCTCCCCATATAGACTTCAGGACTAGGCAGTTAATGGCCTTGTTTGATACGAAGCATCTTGTTAAAGAAAGATGACCAATTGTGTTTCTAAAAGCATCAACCAAAGAACATTTTTGTAAGCGCTGGGATAACCCAAGAGTGCTGTAGGCTGTGTGACTGCTCTCTTGGGAAGTCAGCCCAGAGTTTAATAAGAACCTGAGCAGACCTGTGGTTTATCAGTTTTAAGGCCTTCCTTTGTTAGTTTCTTAGCCAGTGGAGTCTAGAGCATCCCTAATCACGTGTACTCATGGGAAGGGCCCTCATTTAGAAAAGAAAGGCTGTGCTGTGGAGATGAATGGGGCATTGAGTTCCCGGGAGCTGTCAGAGGAACATGCTGTCCGCTCAAAGAAGAGGCTGACTGCTGTTTTGTCTTTGTGCTTTTGGACTTTTTTTATGTGTATATGTGCTGATCTTATATATTTATGGACAAAGTCTTATTAAATAGTCCAGGCTAGCCTCTAGATCTCCTGACTCAGGCTGGGATTGTATTGCTATGTATTATACCTAGTTTTGGCTTTTAAAAGTTTTGTTCTGTTTTTTTTTTTTTTTTTTTTTTTTTTTTTTTTACTTTTTTGGTTTGTTTTCCCAAGACACAGTTGCCCTGTGTAACAGAGCCGTGGCTGTCCTGGA